TCCGTCAATGGGACAATCAATCCCTCTACAGTTCGTTTATTCGTTCCGATGGTAAACTGGTACTGATGCATGCCAGGGAAACGTGCTTGCTTGTAAACAACTCTTGAATGAAAGCCAATCGAAACTTGGCAGCGGCTGGTTACTTCTATCATTCGATATTCTCGAAATATTTCCGGGCTCTTCGGCCTCTCGTAGTGAGCGAGTGTGGAAGGAATTTTGACTTTTGACTCCTGCTGCAAAAATCCCCATTTTCAGAAAACTCGACAAATTTCTGTAGTTGTTTGCTGGATTAACTTTTCACTATTTGCTGTATCTTGCTTACTTTGAGCTGAATCAGGAAAAGAATTACCCTTGAAATTATTCAGACATTTGCGAATACAGTAATTGGAAAGAAAACGCACAGAATGAGCGGCGTTTTCACTGAGCTATGATAATCGTTCGAACAGAGCCCTGGTAGAGCCCAGAATAATGCGAAGAAAGTGAAGATGGTGTGACTGACGAAGATTTAAGCAATCAAATTCTTGAAAATTAAAGATTTCTTAAACTTTAGGCTTTTTAACCTTTTTCAACTTCTTGTTGGTGAAAAAACAATTTAATTCTTTACTTCGCACAGTCGCAAGTTGCAAATGAACGGAATAATACAGGTCTATCTACAGTGCTTCAAATTTTTTTATTACGCTCTTCTGCAGTCGAAGAATATCGTCAAGGCGAAAGAAGGAACTGCGCGATATACGCAAAGATCCAATTCCTTTTCCATCCCGGTCCCCCACTGTACGTCCTTAGTGATTTGTTAGAATGAAAGGAAATAGATTAGGTTGAAAATCCCGTCAAGAGCCTAACCAGAGTTGCTTTATTCGCAGCAAATACGTTGCGGCATTTTTTATTTTCCTAAAGAGAATGAGAATAAGCATTCACACACACATGAGAACAGTTTATGAATTATTGCCCTTATACTTTCTGGATGCTACGACAGCTTTTTTAAGGTGTTTAAAGATTTCTTAACGACCCTTTTTGAAATTTTGATGAACCGCTTTGATGTTTTCTGTTTCTTTTACTTTTTTCGTACTGCGTCCGCGTTGTAGCACGGTTTCGAAACAAATTAGCATTTGTTCCAAAAAGACATTGCACTTATAGGAAGTCGTATTCAGTCTGCGATTCATTTCGTTTGTAAACTGGTATTCTGCATATGCCAAGGAATCACACCTATCGTCAGCTTGCTTTTAAAGAAGCCTCGAACGAAGGCACGAGATTTGCCTCTCACAGATAGCGGATACGGAGGTAGTTTTGATTTTTTTTTTTCACTCGTTAAGTTGTCTTTGCGCTAAGTACTTTCGGAACGCACTAGCCTGTGCAGTAATTCATTTGGAGTTTCTACGTTTGTGACCCTTCTTTTCAGCGACGCACCCGCGTGTCATAAGTAATATTCTCTGTCCCAAAGCAGAACACGTGTCGATTTCCGGCCGTAGCATACTTACACGGTGGAGGTGTTGGTTACGAGTGGAAGCGGCTATTCGGTTGGGATAGCTATAATCGGTCTGTGGATGTATCTTTACATGATTGTGTTAATGGTGCTCGCAGCAGTTGTCCAGACAGTCCAGATGCCCTTAAGCGCAAAAAAAAATGCAGCAAAAAACGTGCTGGAACTGTTTTCATTTGCCGTATCAGATGACACACTACCAGTTTGGTAGAACAGGTGGGAGAGCCGGAGAGACGCCGGAAGGACGCAGGCACGGCTCAAACATATATCAATTGAGGCGGAGGAAGCAGGAGGAGTTGTTTGAAAATTCGCTACTGTCATTGATAATATTGTTGGTGGTTGAACTGACGACTGAGCGAGTTGTACGCGAAACGGCTAAGAGCAAATGTTTCACTTTTTTTTTTATCGTCGCGTCGTTTGGGTATCATGGCGTCGGCCTGTGCCCTCCAGAAAGCGTTTCGCTCAAATCATGTGCTCGTTTTACTGCGTCACGTGCCCTTATTATGCAGCTAAAATACTTCACATTTTTTTAAAATTCCGTGTCTGCTTACATTTGCTTCTGGTACTTCTTGCAAATTTTGAAGCCTTTTTTGCCACACCTTTGTATAACAACCCAACAGCAATCCGATAGGTATATTCCAAAACGAAAGATACATCACAATTTTCGAAGCGGAATAGAAATATTTGATAATTGAACAGCACTAGATTGACTAGATTTAGCCTAAATACAACTAGAAGAAGCTGCTAAAAATGTAAATTGGTGGTGCCAGATTTAGTTGCAGAAAGGGCCGTCTGATCAAACCAGAAGGAA